TATTCTCAGAGTTTGAGAGCCATCATGATGATATCAACATGAACAGTCTCCCTCCTCCAGGACCCAAGGAAATCAACTTTCCTCTCCTGTCTCTTCCTCAAAATTCCCTTCTGCAGGCTAGCACTGACTCACCTCCCCTGCTTCCTTCTCTCACCTCATAAGATCATTAAGTTTGGAAAAAAGAAGATTAAGGGGGGACATGATAGCGGTTTTCAAATATTTAAAAGGGTGTCACAAGGAGGAAGGAGAAAATTTGTTCCTCTTGGTTTCTGAGGACAGGACAAGGAGTAATGGGCTTAAAGTGCAGCAGGGGAGGTTTAGATTGGACATTAGGAAAAAATTCCTAACTGTCAGGGTGGTCAAATATTGGAATAAATTGCCAAGGGAGGTGGTGGAATCTCCCTCTCTGGAGATATTTAAGAACAGGTTAGATAGACATCTGTCAGGGATGGTGTAGGCGGAGCTTGGTCCTGCCTTGAGGGCGGGGGGCTGGACTCGATGACCTCTTGAGGTCCCTTCCAGTCATATGATTCTATGATAAGTTATTGTGAAAACCTTGGGAATAACAGGGCACATGCCAAGAGAACTGTTCATCGACTTTGCCTCTCGGTTACATCTTCTTGCCAATTGTGGGGGTTCGTACTGCTACCTCTCCTTTTTCTCCCCTTTTTGTCCCCAGTCCCAGTCCCCTTTCTCCGTGTCGTTGTGCTTACAGCCACGGAAGTGCGGGGAGGGGGGTCCGGGCCCACCCTCTCTCCCGGACCCCAGCCCAGGGCCCTAAAGACAGGGTCACCAGGACCTGTCCCACCGGAGGGGTAAAGACCCTAAACCCACCGGTGCGCCGGCTCCTTACCCTGCCCTGGGCTACTTCCACCCCGCCTTCGTTTGTCTCGGAGCAAGGGCTCCCCCCCGGCTCCTCCGTCGCGCCATTTAAACCTCCCGCGGCCGCAGCACCAACTCCTGCGGTCCCACCCCCCCTCGCCACCCGCCAGCTGTTTCCTTGCGGCTCCCCCCCTCAGCTGAGCCGCCGCCGCGCTACACTGCGCGCACGTAGTTAACGAGCCCTGCGCTGCCCCCATTAGCGTAAAGGCGATCGCGGGGTCAGTGCAGGGTGGGCCCGCTTCCCTGGGGTATGCGGGTCCCGCCCCGTCACACCAATATTTTGTCTATTTAAATAATAAACCCTCTAATGCAAGCATCTTGGGTGAAATCCTGGCCCTGTTGAAGTAAATGGCAAAACTCTCATTAACAGCAATGGAAACAGGATTTTACTTTGTCCTTACATAAAATGCTAAATAAATGGTAACAATAGCAAACAGCTGCTCTTTATGAGGATGCTTTCAGAAGTGTTGGCAGTAAGGGAATGTAGATACCCTATTCTTTCCCTTAAATTAGCAGCCATTCCCAAAGACTGAAATTGCGTGGTGCATGTCTGCACTGCAATTAAAAAAGCCCAGGCCAGCTGACTCAGGCGACCAAGGTTAAGGGGCTGTTCAATTACAGGGTCCAGGATAGAGTCCAAGCTCTAGGATCCTGCAAAGTGGGAGGTCTTTCTTAAGAACATCACAATGTATTAACCCCTTTGCCCAAGTCACGTGAGCATGAGCCAGCTGGCACTGGTCAGCTTCAGGTGTCTAATTGCAGTGCAGACATATCCTTGGTGTGGTCATAATATCTGCTGTTTTGCTCCTACCCAAATTGCCTCATGTACAATCCAGTGAACCACTGAAAAATATTACTGGTTTTTAATATAAAATATGACTTTATACAAAGAAAAGTACAACACGTGCTGAAATTTCAGATAAGATCCATGATTAAAACTTGGGGTGCAAAGATCTGCTGTCTTTCGTGTTACCTCATGTTCCATTTCCCGTCATTTGCTTGATTTCTCCACTTGTCATTTTCTACTTTAATTGAGGTTGTAAGCTCTTTGGGAAAGGGACTTTCATTTTTTTAAAAAACATTTGTAGAGTGCATCCTTCTAGTGCAAAGGATCCCTGCTCATGATTGGGCATTTAGGAACCACCATAAAATGAATAATGAAATAATGATAATAACAAATATTAATCTATCAGAGATGTTCATTTGTGTACAAGTTGAAAGAAATGGGTTAATTGAGAGGCAAAAAATCACCAATTTTGGAAAATATATATTAATTTCCAGAACAATACAGTCCATACTTTGCAATATAGAGATGTACCAGGTTGGACAAATGAACTTCCCAAATGAAAAATACATTTTTTGAAAGAAAGCAGAACATTTCAGAAGTCTATACCAATGAGATATTCTGTAATCTCAGTTCTCTGGTCCATTGCAGGTCTGCAGATGATACTGACATTTAGTTTTGATATCATCATTTGTCTGGAGCTTTCATATTTCACTAAAATGTTTGTCAAAACCTTAAACACTCACAGATGGTATTTTTGCACCTGTGTTGAGAGCCAATGTAAATATATATTCCCCCTTCTGACCTTGTTAGAAATGCTCTCTAGCTGAAAAATTGAAAAACAGATCAATATCTTGATTTGAAGGAAGACAGTTCCTTGTCAGAGAGTGCATTCAAAAGTAATGATTCCCCAACTCTATGGGCTTTTAGCAAGGGGAAACTTTACACGCATGCACACGTGCACATTCTCACACACACACAGTTGTACTGTTTAGAAAATAGCAGTTGTGAACTCTATAAAACTGTGCCAAAAATCTCTGTTCTCATTGTAGTTTAAAAGAAGATACAGTTAGCATTGGACATTTACAAGGTTTGGACATTCTTTTGCAAAACACCTTCGATCACTTATATTTCCTCACTGACATTGCATCATCCAGGAATCTTTTAAGTGCCATTATTATATATCTTCCTGAGAACTTGAGTCAGAAGTGGAAAGTCTTTTATTAATAATAATTCTTTCTTCAAGCAGTTGTTGTATGTGTACCCATAGTATAATCTTCAGATTTTTTTAATATTCTGGGTACAAAAGGGTTAATTTTATCAAACATGCCTCTCAATTATTGAAAACCAGTCTAATGCAACTGACAGTCTCATGGGACAAGTTTCTCTGTCCTCATCACAACTGCTTTCCATATACTTTTCCCTGCAAAGTGAACTGCCCAGATAGCTGTTACATTACTTTCTACCCATTTTACTTAGAAGCATGTTTTCATAACAATTAATTTCTCGTTTCTCTTTGTTTACTTGGGTAAACTACTAAGATGTTGTCTGAGTCCCTAAACAAAGGGAGGCCAACCTCATAAATGTTGCATTAAGAGAACTTTTAAAAGTGCCCAAGTGACCAAGAAGCTTAAGATTCAATAAAAATAAATGGGGCTTGTACTCGTATGTTGCTTAGGTATTTCTGATAAGGTATGGTGGGGAAGAAAGAATTCCATTATGAACATGGTCTTTGTCACTCTCTTGAATTATTCTTGCAAATTATTGACTGCTGTGTACGGGGGCAGATGACCATTTCGTGGGGCCCAGGGCAGCACAATTTCGCGGGGCCCCCCTTTGCCACGGCCCCGGGTGACCGCCCCGCTCGCCCTGCCCTATATCCACCCCTGGCTGTGTATGTTAATCCAGTTTATCAAGAAGAATTCTTTCATTTCCTCTTAGTCTCTCAAGCCTTTTCTATCAATGGAACAAGTTTGTTTCTTCTATTCTCATGTAAATTAACCTTAGTGCCTGGAGGTCATGTTGCTTTTGCCTAAAATAATCAATTATCCTATCATTACATGAAGAGAGAACCGCTAATATTTTAGCTAGAAGGCACAGCAGTGCCTTGATGAGTACATTATCTTATTATGGCATAAAATATACCCCTCCTACAGAATATGGCTGCTACTTGCACCATGAAAAATAGTGACAATGTTAGGATAGGTTTTCTGCTTATAATTACAATTTTTTAATTATTGGGGAAATCTTTGATGATGGGAGCTAAATACTGTTTGAATGTAGATGTCTCTGAATTTCAAAAACAACTGATATTGCCCTTGCTATACAGTAGCATTGGTCAGTCGTACTATGTTTAATACAATCAGATGCTGTATAAATCACAAGGTGCATCAGTTGTTAGATTAAAGAATGTAGCAAAAGTTAAATGGACACCGACAGATCCTTCGAGGTACAAACAAATAATCCCCTTCCATGAACTGCTTGAAACATTCAAAGTTCTAAAAGGTTTGTGCTCCTTGAAGTTGTAGGGTAAAATTTTCAAAAGCATTCATCACTGGCCTAACTCTGCTCCAGTAGCATCCAGTGGGAGTACCATTGACTTCTCAGGAAGCACTACAGCTGAACATTCATGAAAATCCCATTAATGATATTTCAGTGACCTCATTTCTCCCATCTCCCTGTTACCCAGATTGCCCACACAGACCTAATTAATTACACTAGTCCAATAAATCCATGGTTTGTTTTCAAACCTATGTTTTACATTTCTGTGAGCATGTAAATGTGGCAGCTGTGGCTGGCCATTGGCTGATGTACATAGTACATTAAATAACAAAATGATGGATAGAATGTGGGACAAATTACCTTTTTTCTAATGTGAATCATTTTTGCAGCCTCTTTACCATGACTAAATTACTCTTAAAATATTTCAAATGTCTAGATTTTCAGTTTGCTTGGAAAGATACTGAAACTGACATAAGGGATTCAATATTGCACTGGGTTTATTTGTACTCTTCATAGAAAGAACGTCAGGCAGCTTCTAGTCAAATTCAGTCTGAATAAAGACTTTATTGTTAATCAGGAAACTTTAGCCTGCTAACCTTCTAGGTTCCTTTGCTGTTTTGAGTGATTACCAGTTCCATGTTTCCTGATCTTGTGCCTAGTTCTACACTAGTCCATACTTTAATAATGGTGACCTGTAATAAGGCATTCTGTTTCCATACTTTTTTAGTTTTAAATTTCTTGTTCTATCTCAGATGGAATCATGGAAGAACAAAAGTTGTGATTATTTGATCCTAACATTACAGGTGTGTGTTTTTGTTTTTGTTTTTTCTAGGGGCCTCTTAGCTGATAGCTTCACAGAAACACACTATTTGAAAGACGGCACTGATGTCATTCTCACACGCAATTACACGGTAAGGTTTGTGTCTTGAGGAATAGATAAAACTTTGCCATTAAAATACCACAAGTGCTGCCAGGATGGGAAATGGACAGTGAAATAAAGTAGATAGCTGGGTATTCTTTTTAGATTGTTGCGTTTGGTAACTTCTTATCCCTGTGTTCCTAAGCCAGAACTTTGAGGAAGGAATTTTCAAAGTGAGACACAGGGAATTTCACCAGTGACTGTCATTGAAGCCCATAAGAATTTTGCTTGTAAAGCCTTATACAGCTCTTTGCAAATGCACGTGTTATGTAGTTTGTTAATAGGCCACAAACAGCCATTGTTGCACAGAAAAGAAGTGAAGACCTTATTCAGTTAAAAAGAAAGCCCAATAAAGATGGCTTTCACAATGCCATGTGGAAGGTTGGATAAAGGCATTTCAAGGTCTGTGTGGATTTCCACAATGCAAAAGCCAGATGCAGTGGGACTAACATGACACCAGAAGGGGTGGGGCCTCGGGCAGAAGGGCTGAAGCCTTGGGCAGTCAGCCCTTAGCACTGCCCAGACTGCAGGCACCCCCAGCCCTCAGAGCTGTGCAGGGCAGCACTCCTGCAGCAATACAATGGGACCCACAGCAGCAGGGCTGGGAACTTCAGTCCCCTTTAAATTTCCATGTCCCAGGCCAATTGCCCATTTCCCTCTCCCTCCCCCTCCACTTCACCCTTGTTGTCAGCTGAGCCCAATGTATCTTGTTATTTTTTTAATCAGGTTCTTAGATTTTTTTTATATCAAGCTAACTTTAAAATCACCACAAAATACCTATTTTCTCTTTTTAAAATGCTTTTTATAAATAAAGTACTGTTTTAAGGCACTCGCTTTTTTGTCCTCTGACAGCAAATATCAATTCCTTAATTAAAAACAGTGCACTAATTGATTTTAATTATAAAGTTCATCTTTTATCTGGCTGAGTAGATCCAGCTCAGATGGAATATGGAATATGTATTTATTATTTACTTACTGTATCAGCAGAAGCATCTCGCTCCATATTGTCAGTGATGAGTCTAAATGACAAAAAGGAAGTGTTTTCATTCACATATTTTTAATACTAAGAAATATCTTCAATATGAAAAGCCAGACATATCCAGAATAAAGCAATCCATTTGTACAGTTGTCAACTTCTTTCTGTGTGCACGCACATGCTTATGTGTGTCCATTTGCATAGCATGCATGCATGCGGTTATATCTTGTTGCGAATTAGTGCAATGGACAATAGTTGATCACTTCTTTTGAAAGATTGTGTAATATCAATACCTCTCCCATAAGCTACCTGAATAAAAGGAGGAGTCTATCGTCTATGCTGGTGATTTGCTGTAAGTAAACAATGAAAAGTCAGGTAGATGAGAAAATTCAAAATGGTCTAAAAATTCTTAATATTCACACAAGGAAAGGATATGCAACCTTTGTGGTTAACTGTTGAAGCAAACTAATCTCAGCTATGTGTACTGCTGACTATAGAATTTATTCCTCTTCACAAATTCATTTTAAAGGAAAGTTTTAAGTAGACAATGTACTTTGGTACAATGATGTCAGAAAGACCTCAAATGAATAGTACTAATGGTGCAGTTTGTGTCCTAAAATAGTTTCAAGAGACCAATACAACACATTTTTTATCAAAAGCAACTGCAGTATTGTCTAAAAGAAATGACCAGAGATTCTGTAATTTGATTTTATATCTTTTTCACTCAGTATGGCTAAGTACCTTTATGGTGGACTCTAATCTAATTCACTTTTCTGATTTATAGTTACCTGGCTGTAGAAATGAAATTGGGTTTTGGTCATTGTGTTATTTGGAGTCCTAAATCTGAGCACTTGCTTGGTGCAGATGTTACTATTGTATTTTCATAACCTTTATAGTAAATACTCCTCTAAAAAAACCCTAGTATTGTCAAACTTAACCACTGCTTTATTACTTAATGGTATGAAATAAAGCCAGAGCACAGCTTTAAATACGACAAATCAGTTAACTGTAGAAATGATTCATTTTTAGGGGGATTAGCTACTTGTACAGTAATTTAAAATAACAAATTTTTTGGATGGGTGAAAAATACTGTAACTCAGCTGAGTTACTGAGCTAGAAATCAATTTTCCACTAGTTCAATCACAGGATATGATCTGATAGGTTTCCTGTTTTCAATATTGAATTTGAAGGAATCTTACCTTCTTGTAGCATGTGGATCTTGAAGAAGTTATGAAACTGAATAGACGAGGAGTTCAAAGTTAATGAAATATCAAGTGTGTCTGGAGTGAGAAAGAATAAGAACCATTTCTATAATACACTGTTTGATAATGTCAGTTACATCAGCCTAGGAATCATCTTCCCCCTTCCTGTTTCACCAGACACTTTCACAGTCCAGGCAAGTCTAAACTTAAAATACTGCATCAGCGCAACTGTGCCACAGTGGCATTTTATGAAGATGTTATGAGCCAATGGGAGAAATTGCCTGGGGAGGTGTCATTGGAGATTTTTAAGAGCTGGTTAGACAAACACCTGTTGGGGTGGTCTAGATGATGCTTGGTCCAGCCATGGAGGAGAGACTGAACTTCATGACCTCTTGACGTTCCGTACAGTCCTGTGATTTTGTGTAATGTCATTGAATGATAGCCCAGGTTTTTCTCCGGTTAAGGACTGGGTGAGTTTAATTGATCATTGTCTTTAAAGCAGAAATATTATTGTCATGTCTAACAGTTGCATGTTTTTAATTGTTAGTAAAGCAGTCCTTTAGAAGATAATTTAATGTGTGGAATTGTTCCACTTGTTTGTGATTTTCTTTCTCATCAGAGTGTTACTAGCACTTTACTGAGTCAAATAATGAAGACACAGTAACATTAAGTCACTTACACACAGTTTTTTCATTGTATTTCATGGCCAACCATATAAATTTAATTCAGAGTATAACCCACTATTCTCTATTTTGTCACATTCTCATGTTTAAAAAATACTCCAAATAAACATTTTCTCATGAAGTAACCTAATTGGCTTAGGATTTATATCTCAGCTATTCCATCGCTTTCTTTAAGAAATCAAGGTGGGCTTTTAGAAGTATGTTGTGTGAGGATCTGTAATTGAAAACCATTCCCTGACATTGAAAAGGTTAATTAATGCAGCTAAATGTGAATGAACCAAGTAATAAAAAGGCATAGTGAGATGACTGTCAGTTGAAACATGAGTGATAACTTTCCTTTGCACTAATAAGATAGCAACCTTTTACAATAGTATTTTTAGCTTCCAGATAGCATTTAAAGAATCTGTGAAAAAAAAAGATGTAACACAATAACTGTGAAAGAAATGCTGGATGTAACACAATAATAATTTCTAGCCAGTCACATAATTGGGGATGTAGTGTAACCTTTAATCAACAATAACATTAATTTTGATTGCAGAGAGATATGTATCTTTATTGAGTCAGTATCTGTGTTGTGGTTGCCTTTTGCAAGCAGTTGGATTATTAAAGAAATACAATAACACTGCCATTACACAAAAAAGGATTGTTGCCTTTCAAAATAGAAGACCCTTTTAGTTTTCTTGTTGCTAATAATGTGCTGCTATTCAGCTAGTTAATTTAATAAGCTGCTTCCCTACCAACCCACTTTTCATTAATCCTATGAGTTTTTCAAGCCATAGATTTGAGACAAGTTTTAATATACCTCACAGTATGCTTAATTACCTCCTATGAATTTACATAATCTTACTAAAGAAAATTTATATCTAAGCAAAATGTTGATGTCAGTGTGATTTTTTCCAATGCTTAATTTTGTAAAATGCCCATATCCTAGCTAATATAAAACATAACCAAGGAGAAAAAACTTATTACATTTTAATAAGTTATTGTCTGTTAGTAAGTAGGGATGTCATAGGTACTTGTGTGTGGACTCCTTTGGTCAAACATTAAACTTTGAAAATGCTCATGACAATATTTCATTGAGACAGAAAGGTTACTATAAATGGAATTCTGGATGCTGCAGCTTGATATCAGAGGAAAGGTTTAGATAGAGAGACCCTCATAAAACAAGGCATAGAACAGAATTTATGATTACCTAAATGATTTCTCCTTCCTTCCTTTTTTCAATTAGGGTCACTGCTATTATCATGGTACCGTGCTAGGGTATCCTGACTCTGCAGTCAGTGTCAGTATCTGCTCTGGACTCAGGTAAGTGAATTTGCCAAAGCTATTATCGACATTTAAATATATATATATATATATAATGATTTCAATCAAATCACATGTATCAGGGCTTTGGTTAGTTTCCTGCGGGGGTCAGGAAGGATTTTTTCACAATACAAAATTAGTTAGCTGTATTCTAGATTGGTGTTTTTTCCATCTTCCTCTGAACTATCAAAGCTTGGCCAAACCTGTAGTTTGTGTGTCTTGTCCAGAGTCATACTGATCTCCAGATTTGGAATAAGGAATTTTCCTCCAGATCAGATTGGATAGACCTTGGAGTTTGCTCTCTTAGCATCTTAGTCGATCGTGTTCTTTGGCTATGGCACTCAATTTAGTCCCTGAATGAATGACATTCTGTTATCTCTAACTAGATTCTTTTGGCTCAATATATGGGAATGTGACTGAAATATAAAGACCTATGATATACAAGAGGTCATAATTTGTGTGTGATTTGTGCAACCCCAGTATTAAAATTGAATGTGGGGACTAGGAATGAGAATTCATAGAATTTAAGGTGAGGAAGTCCATATATTCTTACCATATATATAAAACCATTAAAATTCACCAAGTTATCCCTTTATTGACTCCAATAAATTAGTTTTGGTAAAAGTATACCAATAGGAAAGGCATATCATCATGCTTTGAAGACATTAAGAGATGGAGAATCTATCACTTCCATTGATGGTTTGTTCCAGTGGTTAAATTCATTCCTTTTTTAATTCAGCTTCCAGCCATTCTTTTTTCTTTAAGTAATGGCCTACTGTCGGTGCACACATGCTCCATGCACCAGAGATGGGAAGATTTTTGCTAGCGGTTCTATTGGCCCATGCCTGTGTCTTTCTCCTCTTCGTGCTACAAAAGAAGGGTATAAGTCAGTGATTGGCAGACAGGGTTCCACGTGTGGTCCGTGAGGCATTTTGTTTACTGTTGCCCACATTCAGGGTTACAAGATTCCGATGATCTCTGTCCACATTGTTTTTTTCCTACTGGTATTGCTAAAGTGACATGTACGTGAAGTGAGATGTGTGCTGATTGCACACAACAGTGACCGTGGGAGCCATGCACTCCTGCTGCATCCAATCAACGCACTGCTATGGTTCAGTTAGCACACTGAAAATTCTAGGAATGCAAGCACAGTTTGGAACATAATTGTCTGTAGTCTTTATATAGTTGTAGATGTCATCTTAGTTCTTAGCTAGTTGGGACATAAGTACCCCCACACACATATCCCGTTATGAGATCATGACCAAGTTCCCAGGATTCAAGAACTGTGTTTTCAGACCTCCTCCCCCCCCCCCTCCCAACGTGATTGGTCAGCAATTACCACCTGAAGCACTTCTGCTACTTTGGGTATAGTCACATCTACTTTGAAGTGCAGCATTTGCCAATTGTTTCCTAACAGAACCCATCAAACCTATGAGTACAGGCTTCAAAGATCTTGTTATGAATTCAGCAGTCTGACCCAGGGCAAAGTAGAGGCACAGAAGAACTTGCCTTCAGTTCTGGGGCTCAGAGGAGAGACCTGAAGATATTTCCTCATAGTGGCGTCAAAAGGTCAAGAAATGCTGTCATAACAAATGAGGGAAATCCTCCTCTAGATACACCTCAAAAAAGACTTCTTTACCAACACCATCTAAGTTGCATCCCAGTGCAGGAGGCTAAGATGGTCACAAGAGGCATGGTGCAAGTCTCCAAGATCCTAAGCACAAGAGCATTCTGAGGCTGCTACCACCCACAGGAGAAGGATCATGTTTTGTTAACAAAGGAAAAGCACCAAGCACCCTTGCATTGGCAGTACCATTGCACTCCAATGAGGAATGATCAGCACCTAGAGTTCTGGCCACAGTGATTTTGTCTGTAAGAAAAAATCAGCCTCATCGTCCCTCATTGTCTAGGTCAGGAGAGATACATTCCCTTAAGGCTGTAGTAATCCTTCCCAGATCCCAAGTATCCCATCCTTGCAGATCCAATCATTTCAAGAGACATCCTGATGCCAGTGGTCTGGGGATGGCAGAAGAGAGCACAAAAGCTGCTTTCTAATACGTTCCACTACTAAGGAATTACAATGTCTGCTTTAGTGGCAATGAAGGCCATGGAATCGGAGCCTATAAATTTGTAAGATAGTGAACTAACTTTGGTACCTGTGACACACAATGTCATCAAGACCTACTGAGCCACCTTTTGTGTCCACTTGCCAGTCTTTTTATGGGACCCATACAAGCACAGTCCAGAATCAATTAGATCTCTTTGAGAATCATATCATTCCTCTCTTACAGGGAGGAGATGGAAACTCAGGAAATGGATAAAGAGGTAAGAACTAAAATCAATGGAACTACTTGCTCCGATGGGACTATATCATATTCGTCCCCTGATTCAGCATGGTGCCAGCCTCGTCTTCTCTGCCTAATGATTACAAACAAATCTGAGACTCACTAAACAGGGTGGCAAAAGTACTCCAGATTCCCCAGCAGAGGTACCAGAGGCACTTCATAAACTCGTGGGCATCCTACAGAGTGTGAACCCAGCAAGGTGCTGCTTTCTGTTTTGCAGGCTGCAAGGTGATCTGGCATACCTCAGCCACATGTTCTCCCATGCCAAAAAATACAGAAAAGAAATACTTCATACCAGAAAGGGGTGCAGAGATTTTATTTACACCCCTTATCCTGAACTCCTTAGAAATCCAGCCTGCCACAAATAGGCAACATCCTCATTACAGAAGGGATGGATCCTGAAAGCTAAGCATTTGGATCTATTTGCAATGAAGTTTTTTACTGCAACCCACCTGCAATTCCACATAGCAAATTGTCATGCATTAATGCCTAAATATGATTTGTTCATTATTCCAAGTTCACGGAATTCACCGACAAACTCATGCAACAAGAATGAGTGCCGTTCCAAGCACTTACTGAGATAGGTACACTGATTGCCAGATCATCCCTTCAAGTTCACTCAGCGCAGCTGACACAGCTTCCTAGTCGATAACTTTGGCTTTTTTATTCAACCATAATTCTCATAATTCCCTGGGAAAATCAACTCTATAATGAAAGGAGTTGCCCTAAGGGAATGGCCTGTTCAGCGAGCATATGGGTGATCATTTATGCTCATTGAAGGACTCAAAGGAACCCTCCACTCCATAAGAATTCACTTCACTATCCAGGAGGAAATTCCATAGACCACAGTCTTATAAGCAGCATTCAACATCTCAACCCTTTTCCATCAAAGGGGCTTTAAGCCACTATAGAAATGGCAGAGGATGGAGGGAACAAGTATAATGTTTTCACCTCTTTCTCTTTCAAACCCCAGCCTTGAGCTAACAAACACTTTTGAGAGATCTGAATCAAACCAGTTGCCAGTCTATCTACCCAATTGGTCACCCATTTTGGTGACTGCCTAGCTCATTTCTCCCAAGCCTAGCAAATGATAATAGAAAAATGGGCTCGTCACATCATTCATATCTTCTTTGCCATAGTGTTCTTCTGCTCCACTCCAACCTTCCCTCCCCCATGGGCATCCATCTTCAGAGACCACTCCCATGAAAGGATGCTCATTCAGAAAGTAGACTCTCTTAATCAATAGGGAGCCATAAAACTGGGATATTCCCAGCACAAAGGAAAAGGGTCTTTCTCATATCCAAAAGAAGAAAGAATGGAGACCCATCTCAGACAGCAGGTAGCTTCATGTCTTTATCTGGAAAAACAAGGTTCAGGAGAGTCACCCTAGCATCAGTAATTCTTCCTCTGAACAACTGCATCTGGTTTACCACTCTTGACATGAAGGACGCCTGTACTCACATGGACATCCATCCCACACACAGACGATTCCTGAGTTCACTGAAGGTTCAAATCATTCTAATTACGGCATGCTCCCCTTTGGCCTCACAACTGTGGCAAGAGTATTCACAAAGGTGCTATTAGTTGTGGTCTCCTACTTTCACTGTTACAGATCATCACTATTCCCCTTCATGAACTGGTTATTGATAGGGAGCTCTCATCAGGAGATTCTGACAGTGATCTCATATCTGCCTAATCTTTTGTGCTCACTGGGACTTGATATAAATATAGAAAAGTCTGATTTAGTTCTACGTAGACTATAAAGTTTACTGAGGCAACACTGGACTCTATCAGTGGCAACATATCCCTTCTTTGGATCCGATTCCAGTAATCTTGGTATCCAGCCTTTTCATTCTGTTCATGTGTCGTCCTTCTAGGTCTTATGGCATCCTGTACCTATATGAATCCCTTTGTTGCCTACACACTTGGCTCAAACAGCATACATGTCAAGAAGAAGACACCATATGGAAAAACTCGACTCTGTCTCCCACAAAGTGTGGACTTCTCTAATCTCTTGGGAGAAAATTTTGTGTTGGAGTTCCCTTCCTTTCCTCCTCCCTATCCAAGAAGACATTGATCATAGATATTTCCTTGTTAGGATGGGACATTTTCTCTAGCCCAGAAATAATTTTTTCTGCTCTTTCTCCAATTTTTTAAAACATGCTTCTAAAACTACAGACACCAGAACTACATATGGTATCCCACTATCAGTCTCACCTATAGAGCTGTCTGAAATGTGAATTGGCGGTTTATGAGAAATGCTGACTTTCTGAAATTTAGTTTTGGTCCAATTTGGAGTTAAACCGTTCATTTCAGAAACACATCCACATGGTGTTTCCTCAACAAAATATGCTCCTGGGACTAGAATCTGCTGATTGAATTGACTCTAATGTTAGTCTGTAAGGGCCACTGATCTCAGCAGCTGAGGTGGCTGGAGCTCCTGGCCATTTAAATCGCTACTGAAGCTGCAGACACACCCCTTCTGTCTGAGGCCCCATCCTTTCCTCTCTCCCCAAGCACATTCCCAGAAATATCTGTCCTCAGTTGTGTTGCCCACAGTTGCTGGGATTACCAAATGTGAGGCTCTAGAGCAGGACATGCACTTGGAGCAGAAAATGTTGAGGTTTGTAATGGTCCTTTGTTCCTGGAGGGATC